TGTCTGCCCAAAGATGGGCTGCTCACGGCCGAGTTGGACTTTGTATTCCGATGACCTTTCGCTGAATAAGGGCCCTCCAACCGGGTTGAGCCATGGTCCAGTCAAGATGTGTCACACCTTTTTCGCCAGTTTGCCCCAACCGAGGCCGAATCTCTCTCTTTTTACACCTTCTTCGGCAAGTCCATACCAATTTTCAACCTTTCTAAAACTGCACTCGAGGCGCCCTTTTCTGGAGTGGAATCCCATTTATCCACAGCCCACAAGAGCAGACTCGCAAAGTTGGAGTGGAACTCAGTGCACACAGACTCATTGGCAGCATGGGCTTAGTGTCGCTGTGGTACAGGTCGCTTCTTCGTGCCCATCCATTACCCTCCCTGTACCCATCTGCCTCTAAAACTTCATTCTTCGCCCTTCTTCCAGTCGTCTTGACAGTCCCATTCCCATCGCAGCTGTCTCGTACATTCATTTCCGCTAGGAGTATTGTTTAAACCTTCTGCAGCTTTCGCCAGTTTTGGGAAAAACTGGGTCTACATGCACAAATGTGTCCAAGTGTGTGTGAGTATGGGTATGTGTGCGTGCGTGTGTGAGGATTTTTCCACCTCTGGGAGGCATTCATGAACATACGGACACACACTTTTTCAGTTAATTATTGCATTGCCCAGCACATGAGCAAGAATAATCTTTGGTGAAATTCTTGGGGAGACAAATTGAGGAAATATTTTTGTGATGTAGGAATGCAATTATACATGATTTCAAAAGTTTTTGGTAGGAGGCTGAGATGAAGTTTATGATGGATACAGAATGATATTTAGAATTGCATTTGTAGATTATCACTATTTTAATTAGAGCATTGTAAGGAGCAAGCTATACAGACCTTCTTCCTTTATTAATTGTCTTAAAGACTCATCACCTCCATTCTCCAGTCTACTTTATACGAGGGAGATTATACTTGAAAAACCCTTAACAAGTTTGATTGATATGCCCAATACGCTTCTGCCATTGGTTGCTATGCATGCAACTGCATGTTTCCGGGTATTTTCTCATAGTATGGTCATTTTTGGCCCACTTCCCTGACGGCGAATGCTTAGACAATTAAGCCTGCTGATTAGCTTTGAGGCATCAGTCAAAACAGGAATACATTAGTTTGAGGGGCTTCTGGGTTTCGCATTCATGTACAGACGACCTGTGGCTGTAGGTGCAGAGAAGAATGCATGTATATTGACAAAATGATGTGACAAACGAAGAGATGGGTACATATAGAGAGAAATATGGGCAAGTTTGTGAAATAGATATATACACATGCATAGATACAAGAGGAGAGACATGAAGGCCATAACGAAGTTGCATTTGGAAGCAAGTTGTATGGCAAACATTATTCCTTTGTAGTTTAGCGGGAATCCCACAGCCAAGTGGGTATTCTCGTAGACTAGATTGGAGTCTCTCAAAAAAATCACCATCTGCATACCTGGACTGATGGTCTACTTCATTTCACGATAACTTTTAGGGTTCTAGTATGTGACTATTTGTTTGGCGGTGGACAAATTTGCGCACATGTGCTGAATTGCACACATCAGCGAAAGCACCAAAAATGTGCACAATTTTCTGGTTAATGTGTTCGCAAGTAACCTCACAACAACTGGCAATTTCGTCAAAACAATCTTCTGTAACATTGCTGGCTAGAAGAAAGCACATTTTTTACTAAATAAAGAGAAATACAAAAGCTTCTGGTAGAGGCTGGCTTTTATCTTTATATGCCAGTTCCGTTTAGCGGTCTTCTCAAAGTCTGACATGGATAATCCTTTTTGACGTTGAAGTACCTTACATTTCATTACAAAAAGCAAGTGAAATGTAATCCTAAGCCTTGACTGTAGATTTATTCGAATTAATCCTCGTCTCACCGTTCCACAATTCCGATGAATCTTTTCTCAACTTTCGTCCGACATTTGACAGAAGTCATCAGAGCAGCAGAAGTAAGCATTTTCGTGAATTATCATAAAACATGTTGTCCTGCTTTGACCATGTCCATCACATGACGAACGAAAGTTTAGCAAGGGTTCGTCGGAGTCGTGTGATGGTGAGCCGACCACTTATTCACACAAATATAATCCTGCTTCAGCCTCCGGTGGGGCCAACATATGAGTCGCTTCCATTCGTCTCTTCAAACGAAATGAAAAGTTCTCTAACATAAATATATTTTAAAGGTTTTTTATAAAACCAGATTTTCTACAATTCTTCATTTTTCCACATTCGTTGTAGTGATAATCTGTTTAATATAATTCCATCCCACTCTTTACCGTTGTCTATACGGTTTTATTCGTGGCCCATTAGAGAAACGAACCAAGTTGCAAATTCCAGCAATTTGGTAATTTTGTCAGGGCGACCTGAAATGTGCGTACTTTGTCGAGAGCCAGAACAATTGTCAGTGTTGGACCTTGGATTTGGTACATGCCCAGAAAAGATACATCCCTCTTTTGCCGCCAAACTGCGACAACAAATTCGAAGCATTTTTCTTCACAAGAATGAAAGTGCAGCCCAAATAGAAACACATCGTCTTTCATACTTCATTTGATAGTCGTCATTATACATTTGAATTCGTTTGGAAATTCCGGATTTGGCCCAATCGGATACAGTAGAAACATCATACAGTTTCCTAGACTACGTCATACTTACTTAGGCTGCCTACAGATGAGTGGTATGCTTAGTTAAGAATGCAAAATGACGTCAACTAGGCATTAGTTGACTTTCATGTATGATACCTTCCGGCTCGGAAGAGGCCTATCAATGCTGGAGGAATGAAAGGTCAGCACGAATGGGTCGAGACCGGCGAGGATTTCCTCATTCAGCTCCAATTGCAGCGCATTTATGCTCATTCGGTTTTCGGTTCAGTCAAATTATCATAGAAAATGATAGATGCAATAACCGGAATTTATTAAGGCAGTAAGTATGTGAAGCATACTTTTCACATCGTGCCTATGAAATGTTACATGTTTTTTCCTCAATGTCATGATGTAACTGCAGGCCTAGGCTCCACTACTTTGGTTCTCCAAATCTATCAAACTCTGTGATCGACTGACGCCCGAACCGACTATACCGCCTTGAAGGTTCACACTTTAGCACTCCTCGCATTTGACTTGGGACAGAATCAGTATGACTTGACTGTTCATTTCGAGGACAAAGTTGGTTGGAAGGAATTTGTGAATCGTGCCTATCGGGAAACGAAGCATAATTGTTGTGGAGGGAAGTGATGACTGTTGGATTGTGTGATATCTGAGTCGTAAGAGCCAAAAGCCAGCGATCAAAAATAAAAATAATCAAATGTCTTCCAACTAACTTTTCATTCGAAATGAAAATTCATACCACAATAATGCAAAAGAGGATTCTTAAGGCACCCAGATCTTCTTCATGCATACTAAGATTATGCACAATTTTTTGTGACTTTCAAGGTCATTTTTTAGCCAACTTTTTAAAATGATTCATATTCCAGACGATGTGGTGGGTAAGTATGTTGGTACCATTTTAGGGCAACACTTTACGCCATTTCCTTAGCCTCATACAGTCCTTGTGCTCACTCACGCTTGAATCAGCGCATTTGGGAAGTTTTGTTATAAATGGTCATTTCTTTGCGATGACCTTCACCTGCTTCTTCCTAAAAAAATCCCAGGTAAACTTTTCTCTTCTACGTTCACCTTTGCCCTTGTGGCTTTTTTACATTTGATTTAGTATATCGGTGCGCTTGTTCGTAGTATGCATTTTATTTCGTTTAAAGATGCGAATTCGTAAGTTATATATGCGAAGAAAAGTTGGGTTTTGAAGAATTTTTGAGCTTACTTTCATTTCGAGAGAAAGTGTTTGGTGAAGAGATTCGTAGGTCAAATCCACCGGAACATTCATGCTGACGCTGTTTCCGAGGTAGTCACGTTCGATTCCGGTGTAAAGGTGCGCTAAGCTTTCGTCCGTCATATCGCGAACATCATCAGAGCAATGTATCATCGTCATAACCGAATTCGAGCTAACGAGTCAAGAAAACTCCCCTACACATCCATAAACAGTGATTTTGTTAGTTTCAGTAAGGCCAGTCGACAGCTGGTCAAGAGGAATCGGTCGTCGTTTTCTGGTGGAATCGACCTTCGAATCTCTTCACCAAACTCTTTGGCTCGAAATCGGTGGCCTTAGATTTGTACGAAAAAGTCCTCAGCTCATCGTCCGACAGCCTCGTTAAAACCTTGCCGAGCTTTCATCCGTCATGTGACGGGCATCATCATTAGAGCAAGAGACCATATTCTACGATAATTCACCAGAACACAAAAACAAGAAAGTTTGCGGAATTAAAAATATAAGTAATTTAGTGAAGAATTCAGTTATGCGGTCGAAATTGCATCGGCTTAACATGTCATGCATGTAGGAAAGGCTTGGGATATCCAACCAATTCATGAGATGCTGCCTCACTTCCCTCTTAAAACCAACCGAAAGGTATACCAACATCAATCCATTAAGGCAGTGATTCCCAAACAGGGTCGCCGAGGAATTTGAGAAAATGTGTAGTGATTTGCTGGATCATCCATCACATTAATTATTAAATATTAATTTAGAGTCAATCAAGTAAAAACAATAATGATGATTTATTTTTATCTCTTACTTACGAATAGTCATACTTAGAGTAGGGCGCCATGGAAAAAGGTTAATTGAAAAACTTTGTAAACCACTGTTTTAAGGGATTTTTAAAAAGTCACTTCTTCTACATGCCTTTGCTTCAATGTCTGTCGCATTAAGGACAAAAAGTTAAAAATGTATTAATTGGGGTCGTAGAACTTTTATCCTCTGTTTCGGATGAGGCCAATTCATGCATGCCTTACAATCAACTATTCCTTTGAAATGAAAAGGGAGTCTTCGAAACCCAGCTTTTTGGCATATGTCGGCCGAGATGGTCTAAAACATTTTGTCTTCTGTCACCCTACGCCTCGGGCCCACAATTCCGCCCATCTGGTCGGTCATCACATGCAAGCCTTTGCCTGAGGCGGCCTGTACCACTCGACTCGCGGCCGCCTTGACGCCCGTCGGCAGACGCGTCTTCCAAGTCTACCGGTCTCCACTCCTCCAGATGCATGTGTTAAGCCGACCTCGTGTAGTCAAGATGGCCTCAGGCCCGAGGGATGAGTCAGTAGATCGTCTCACCTGCTCCGCTGGCCAGGTTGAGTCTGAGTGGGACGCCAAGACAGTAGCCCCAAATGTAACGGAGCAACCTCGTTTGCACAACTTGGTCGAGGGCAAGAACAAATTGGCCTTGTTTTCACATCATGGTCGTGTTGTCAATGCGATAGAGATGAGCGCATTCAGTCCCGAGTTCATAGCATGCATGACAATTTCCAGTCGGATTACGGATTTGGTACACTACTA